CCCTAAATAATTTTCTTTCAGCATTTCCCATGAATGTAAGAGAGTGTTTTAGATAATGCTACAGTTATGTAAACGTATATACAGATGAAAATTATAACCTGATGCTTTTCTAGCATTCAAAATGTAATCAATGGTACAGGTAGAGATAAGTTTAAAACTCATTCTGAACACAAGTTTAGACCAAACTGTGGCTGTTTTGGAAATTCATCCAAACACCAGACTTTAAGCTCATTTAGCAGAAAATCATATATATTAGTGTTTTTTCTACCACTGATATATATATGAATATATATATAAATAACACATTCCTATCTTCCTACCTCTCAATGATTGCTATGGAAATGGCATCCTCAGCAACCAGTGATCTCAAGTGGCCCTATTCATTTACTGTCCCGGAAACCCCAACCATGTAAACACAAGTGCTAGATAGCATGACATCACTGCCAAAATCTAGACTCTGACATTGGCTAAATATGCTGTGGCCATATTTGGTATATAATATCACCCTTTAGATGCCACCTTTTGTTTATTTTAGCAACGGACTCTGGGAGCTGTCATTCAGCGTGAGTTAGAGATGGGATCAGACATGTTTATCAGTTGGTGGGATTTTTTTTTCTTTTAGCAGGTGTTGTTCATCATGATTGACATAGATCAGCATGATGTGATTGATGATGTATATATATATCATGGGACTTTTTTAATAGCAAATTTCTGTACTTTTGTTTTTTGTTTGAATTAATAGGGTTACTAGCAACACCTGGGGGGTAGGTAGGTGGCCCTTTTTTGTTAAAGGGGGCTTCCAGGTTCTGATGAAACCACCACCCACAGACCCACAATTACAGGGCCATGGCTGTGCTGAAAAGGCCCTTGTTCTCATCAACATGGGGACAAGATGCTTTGCCAGGGGGTCTCCCGGCAAGGCACCCCTATATGGAGGGCATGTGGGGGTCTAGAGAGTTGTACACTTATCAGCCAGGAATACCATACCCTCATCTAAGAAAAGGGTCTAGTATACCCTGCTGATCAATGTAAAGCCCCGGCCATTTGTTTGCAAACAGAAATAAAGTGGCCAAAGTTTTCATTTGCAAACAATTTAAACTGAATCTTTTGTCTTTGCATATGTAAGTTTTGCTCTAATAGTTGTATATATCATACAGATGTGCCACTTCACAGGCAGATTAAGGGAATCCCCATGCATGTTATTTAAAAGTATTTTGTATTTGTAGAATTGGCATTAAATAATTTCATAAATGTTTAAACTTTTTTTTTCTTTTGTACATTGTCTCCAGGGCAATGTCCAGCCCTCCATGCCAGTTGTTTGACAATTTGACAATATTAACAATAGCCTAAAAAATGTCCATTATTGATTTTACTTAAAAGTGGCCATTATTTTGTTATCAACTTCAGCAGAGTTTGGATTCAGTAACCAAACTTTAGTCATATTCTGTGAACCCACTTCAAACCAAACCAAGGTATGTTAGTTATTATAATGATGAACTCCAATATTGTCTTAGAGAAAGTTTGCTTCACCTTAAAATAAAATATTTACTCTTAATCTCCCCTCAACACCTATCCTTTTAAACATAACACTTAACTGGAACTTTACACTTAACCCTAACATCACACTTTTTAGCCTTAAAACTTTGATCTATTCAACTTTGCCATTCTTACAACAGAATTTAAAAAAAAATGTACATGTAGCATTTTTTTAATGTAGACCACCATGATGTACACTAATGCATTATCATATGTGTTGGTGCTCTGCAACACATGTTGTTTTAATGCATTTGGATGCTATTCTGTAACCTGCATTAAAGTGCACCACTGTAATGGAAGTGTAAATGTGCTCTTAAAGTGTACATAAGGACAAAACAAAAAAAAAGTACATCTCTGCAATACATGAAAATGTAGCTAAGTTTTATACTTTAAAGAATATGTGAGTACAGAAAAAAGCCTTTTTATCTGCCAGAAATTCACTCTGTACTAAGCCCTGTTGAATAATGACAATGCACAGCATTTTTGTGGACTGGGTGGTATCAGCCCTGCTGAGTTTTATTAGGTTAAACTACTTAAACTTACTCCCCATCATATTAGAAACTAATCCTTTTGAAGTCTCAAGATAACAGCTAGGAGGGCTGATTAAGATAAAACAGAAAGTTTGCATAGCACATACAACAGCCCTGAATTTCTGACATGGTCAACAGGCATTTCTTAACCCCAATGAACAGTTATAAGGAAACACTTTCAGCTATAAATTTAACACCTAAAGCCCATCTCTAGCAAAGGTCAAGACCCACCACTGAATGCTCTCTTTACAATCCCTGTTCATTATGTCATTACACCACTGATATCTTCTCGTCTAAGAAGACTGCTGGATATCAAATGCTACAGGTACAAGAAGGGGTTGCTGTAGTTAAGGAGGCATTGAAAGTCTAGGCATTACAAATTTTAGCATGTTGACCAGCAGTAAACATTGACTTTCATCAGCAAAATTCAGTTTACTAAAATAACAGATACCCAGGAAGTGCTTATTATAAAGTGCCTAATTTGTCCTTTAGATACGCTTGTTGCATAAACAATAAACAGAGATTAACATGGTTGTTTATTATTATTATTATTATTATACAGGATTTATAAAGCGCCAACAGTTTGCTCAGCGCTTTACAATTTAAAAGGGAGACAATACAGAAACAATATAGTTCAATACTAGAGGGTTAGGAGGGCCCTGCTCCTTGGATCTTACAATCTAGGAGGGAGGGGCTAATCGTACAAAAGGTAGTAACCCTGAGGGATGGACTGGTAGGAGGAGTAGGAGATTCCATTATTAGCTGAGGGCAGGATAGGCTTCCCTGAAGAGATAGCCTAAAAATGAGAAGAGTAGGCAATAGTCTGATAAATTGGGTAGAGAGTTTCAGGGGATGGGGGAAGCTCTGGAGAAGTCTTTGAGATGAGCATGGGAAGAGGAAACAACGGAGCTAGAGAGTAGGAGGTCATGCGAGGAGCGGAGGGTACGGTTTGGGTGATATTTGGAGACAAGATTGGTGATGTAATTTGGGGCAGAGTTATAAATGGCTTTATATGTTATTATTAATGTTTTGAATTTTATCTGTTGGGCAATGGGAAGCCAGTGGAGGGATTGTCAGAGAGGGGTGGCAGATACAGAACGGTTAGTAAGGTGGATGAGTCTGGCAGCAGCATTCATGATAGACTGAAGAGGGGATAGCCTGCAATGAGGTAGGCCAATGAGGAGGGAGTTACAATAGTCAAGGCGAGAGATAACCAGGGAGTGAATAAGTTGCTTAGTGGTTTCCGAGGTTAAGAACGGACGTATCTTGGAGATGTTGCGGAGGTGAAGTCTACAAGATTTGGACAGCAAGTTCATTAGTAAAATAAATACAAAGTAAAATCCTACTACAAAAACTGCATGACAAATAACTGACTGTACTGCATAGAACTTTCACAATTTAATTTATTTTCAGGAATAATCCCCAAAAAATATAACAATCATTTGTTAAAAATTAAGAAATATCTGGTATTTCCTGATGTGTGTAATGTATTGATATAATACAGAAAGAGCTATTTTAATTTTTAAATAACTAGAGAGTTAATATAAAACATAAAGGGAATTCATTAAAATAAGACAGAAAGTCAAAATCTTTTTGATTATGCTGTGTGATTGAATGTTAGCCAAAAAACTGCAAATGTTGATTTAAACACCACCATCAATAAAACTATCTGTAGAACAAAGCACTAGACATAAAAAAAAAATACATTAAATGTTTCTAACTTTAAGACGGATAGGTTTTCTTTTATTGCAGAATTTAAAAAATGTTTTTAATATGAAACATGAAAGTACTTCAGAATTCTTCATATATAATATAATCTGTTATGTTCATTGGCAAATCACTGCTAAGTAACCTATTAAGTTTAAATCAAGTGGAGTGGAAACTTGGCTTATTGTAAGATGTTCTTCTATCACCTGTCATTGCTGTCATGAAAAGAAAATGAATAGGCAGCATATCCACCAGATATCCTGGCCAAGCTCTATTTAACAAATGTTGCTGCTGTCAGTCAAATTTACACCAAAAATTCAACTTTAAAAAGACTGAGTATGTTCCAAATTGTAGGAAACAGAAGCTCATTAGAACTAAAAATGAAAGGAAGTAGATTGTGGTTGTATACATATTAATTATCTCTATTTATTATGGTCTGAAAATAAAGCAAAAAATAAATATTTTATAGGTAAATATGAAATTTTGCACATTACTAGTTTGTGTTCTTTATATAAATCAGCATATAGAACTTTAGGCTCCTTTAGAAATGTTTCCAATATTGCTTTGTCTCATGTTGGAAAACGCTTGTGGTTTACAAAACTCAATAGCTCAAACTGAAGCTTACGCATGCGTGCATACGCACATGCATCCACACAGTTTGATGACTCAATGCAGTGACTTCTACCTCATTTGATCACTCAGTCTAAAGTTTCAGTCATACAAACTGGCACAGCTTGCTTAGGCGCTAAGCAAGCAGTGCATGCTAAACTATCCCTGAAGCTAGCCCATAGTGCTCAAAGAATCCTTGTTTTATGTGAGGCATAGATTTTATAATTATATATATATATATATAAATATATTAAGTGGTAATTAGACAACCTCTGTTCTAAGGGGTTTATAAAGTGTTCACATAGCCATTCAGTCAGTGAAAATGTATGTACATTCACTCTGTGTGAATGGGGAAAACAAATGTTATTAGGCTATACCCTGTGCTTTTTGATAGTAAATTGATTGATTTTAAACAAAAATTATTTCATTTGGCTTCTGAAGAGATAAGTATCATAGAAAATTTAGCTTAGCTCCATCTACTGGTCAACTGTGGTATTTTACATCAATCATTTAAAGTGTTACTAAACTCAAAAAAGTCTGTATATGCAGTAAAGCATGCTTGTTGTACTCACTGTGGAACCTAAGGGGTTAATCTTCTGCATTGTGCAAAAAAAACTGTTTGATCCTGACTTCTCTGATCATCCCCTTCTTACAGTGCCCCCCACTTATCTCCTGATAAGACATATTGGTGTGGAGACACTCTGCACTTGCTCAGTTTGGTGTGTATTGCTAGAGAGGTTTTTTTTTCTTGTGAGAGTGCATGTGATCAGCCCAGGGCCAATCATCACTGTCCAGAGAGAGGTCAGGGGTTCTACATCCTCCTAGAGCAGAAAGAAAATGCCTCCTACAAGCTTTAATCAGTGCTCTGCTGAACACTGATAGAAGTCACAGGACTGCTCTAACTGCTGATGAGAAAAGGTATTTAGCAGTTTGTATTTACTAAAATAATTGCATTTCCATGTGCTGTGTATTGTGGGAGACCAGATAGAATGAATGCAGGGTCCTAGGTTTAGTAACACTTTAAATTCGAAAAGCACAGGGTATAGCCTAATAGCATTTATTTTTTTCCCCATTTGCACAAAGCAATGTACATGCACTTTCACTGAGCAAATATGTATGCTAATTATTTATAAATTAACCCATTTATGTGTGTGAAATATGTTTCTTTTATGTCTTTAATTTATCACAGTTAAATAGTATTTGCTTCCTCCAAAGCAAATGGTAACTTAAAAAGTAAACAGTTATATATATCGGATGTAATAGTGAAATTCAGAAGGAGGAAATGTTGATGTTGATTTACCCACATTAAATAACATTATGGGAGCTTAAGAGTCTTAATTTGTTTCAGGTACAAAGTAACTGTGAGGTGTGTATAATTCACAGAACCCTACTGTAAAGCACATAAACACATCAGTGTCTAGGCAGCTGGCACATGGCACCAATTACATTCAAGGAAATTCCACCCTTTCTAAAACGAATTTTGTTCCAAAGAATCTTTGTCTACTTGGCAGTCCTTAAATCTGTCAAAGGAGTCCTACCACCACCATTTCGATGGATAAGTACAAACATATTTTTACTAAATGATTTAAATACTTTAATAGTGGCTTCCAAAAACATATATATGTAGAAGTGGGAAATGCTTCAATAGTACAGATGGCATAATGACTCTATTTCACCTTTCAAGGACTGGATTTCAGGTTAAATCCAGAGGCAAAATCAATGAGTCTTTGTAATAGATATATGAACATATTATTATTATTATTATTATTATTAATAATAATAATAATAATAATAATAATATTAATGGTAGAATTTGTACTACAACATGAAATGTGTTATACATAACAAAAATCTCCTAAAACATTATAAGAACAGAAACAAGAGATGGTTTTAGTCAATTCTCCTGCTGTTATTGATAGTGAAAGCTTGAGTAAAAGAGAGGTGTGAAAACACACAATCATAAAATGCTTCCCATATATACTGCAGCAGTTAAAATTTTTGTGTGTCATCCATCTCTGTGCAGCGACCAAGCACACACTTGTTTTTTTTATTATTATTATTACTATTATTACTGGAGGTATGAGGCGGATGCTATTTGGTCATTAGATAGATTAGCAGGGTCAATGGGGAGAGGACCTTCCCAAATCCAAGGGCACACCTTATCCGTTCGGTTGGTGTGGGCCCAATGTGAGAGGCACTGGAGGGAGGTTCCTTGGGAGGCACAGGGAATATATAGTGGTGATGGCACAGTTGGGTTGTGGTAACCCTGAAACACGCAGAAACCCTAAGTGTATGTGTGTATGTCAGACAGTGTTTCCTGCTTTCTGGTAAGATGACAGCCAGCCTTTATTTTAAGGAGTTATGGCAACTGCTTTTGGGTCTTTTCTCTTATTGCATGTGGGACAAGTATTTCTTAGTCTCATGTTTTTGTTTTATTGTAGACATAATGCCCTTGCTTTGAGCATGGAAGCATTGATATCTCTTTAGTTGGGCAGAAGATATACTCCCTTCATTTTAAATATAATAACTCTAAATGGATGTTGGATTGGATTTTATGAGTCTTACCCATTTTTTGTACATGGATTTGGGGTCAATATCAATGTTTTGATGAAGTACCTGTCATTTGTCATTTTTCACACCATGTATGTGTATATGGAGCTGATTTTGAGTAATCTCTTCCAGTTAACATAATGATATACCTACTAATGGTGGAAGACCGTTGATGGTGGAGACCAAGCTGAGGGCAAGTTTAGGTAAGCCATTGGTGTCTTTACAATAGGCTCGTAGGAGTGGTGCTGAGTGATTACTTTCTTGCTCTTTATCTTTGAAAGATTATAATGTTGTGGCTGTAAACTCTAACTTTTGCATATCTGGCTGTGTCATATCAGTATCAGGTTTGCCATTCATCTGGACATACCTTCTATTCGGTGTTCCTTTTTGGCCTCCCCACAGTCCAGCGGTCTACAATATCTTTTTCCTATCACCTTTGGATATTTTTGTAAGTATTTGTTGTGTTGATGCATTTTTCCCTTTTTTTCTTTCTCTTTCTCTTTATGGTGTGTTCCTCTTCCCTTTTGGGATAGCTTGATTATTACTACTCAACATTATAAACCCAATTGAAATGTATTTGTGTCAATTCTGACTGTATGCTATTATCCTATACTTATGCAGCCTTTTAATTTATTTATGCCTCACTGTTTGTTTGTTTGTTTGTTTGTTAGATTAAACATAGTGATGCATGGCATCTTTTCATATAAAGAAATGTGAAGTCCTGAAGAAGTGTCAGCGACCACGAAACACATCGACATTTGAGTACTGTATCTGATCCTGATGTTTTTAACAAATGCTTGTAATAAACATCTGTAGTTTTTATGAAAAATTTGATTGGAATTTTCAGTAAAATAATACCAGGTCATTCATTAAACACCCAACTTGTTTCCTATGATATAGTCTGCAATAGCTAACCCTGGGTGGATGACTTTCCAGTGTCTTAGCTGGTTAAGCATATTAGGGATATTTCCTTAATCAACACACAAATATTTTTTTTTGGGGGGAAGTTAGGTAAATTAGCACCCAGTGTTTTGAATGCATATGTGGCATGGCCTACCCCTACAACATGCTTAGCTATTGAGCACCTGAGGGGATTTTATGCACCCATTTACCAGTTTTCTACATTTGCAACCATCATGTTTAACATTTTCAATTAGTTACATATAACTATAAAAGGTTATACTTATGTATATATTCTAGAATTGAACAAAAAAAATGTTTTTATGGGCTATTAGTTGCACTTCTGATATACAGTACTCTATATATAATTTTAAATATGAGGTGTGACAATTTCATTCCTGGAATGGACTGTAAAAAAATATCAAGCGCATGTGTAATCAACAAGAGATTGTATGAAATTTAAAGATAATGTTCTCTCTGATCTTTTGTCACGATTCAAGGCACCATCCTTGTGGAAAACGTTCTAATTTCCAAATCCTCTGTTAGAATCTGACGCACTGTTTCCCTGTTCATGTTCAATTCTTCTGCCATCATTTGCGCACTCAGTATTCAATGTGGGCAGGGTTCGCACTCTGTCGACATTTGCATCCATCCTTTGTGTTTTTGGATGCCCACTTCTTGTGTTATCCAGGATATCATCACGCCCCTCCTTAAACCTCTTATGCCATACATAAACAGAGCTAAAGTTTCACTCACACTTTTGCCATTTTTCACACAAAATTTGATGTTAATCTGCTGCTGTGACCCAGGTGAGTGCAAGTTGGAATTTGTCAGAACACGCTTGAGTGCAAATGGCTGTGTGACTTACCACCATAGTACAATGCCGTGGGCATTCCAGGAATTAAATTGTCACACCTCGCATAAGTAACATCTTATATCTCTTTTTTATGTAGTTTGTTTTTGCAGTACTCATTTAAAGAAGCTCGCTTTGCTCATTCAGGGCACCCTCCAATCGATTTATTCTCATATTCTGTATGCCCCTTTACTTCCCCTTTGTTCTAGAGAAGCCTGAACATTCAAAATCTCTGTAAGCTCTATGTCAGATGGTTTTGAAGTGCACACAGAGTTGATCCTCCTCCTCCTCTTCACATACATTAATAGAGTCCAGGCCTGAAGATTGGTTGCTTACTGAGCGTTGGGAGAAGGTGAAGAGCAGAAAGCACCAGATATTATCTGAGGGCTGTGAAAGGGCAAGAGAGTGGTGGGAGACAACAACGAATGTGGGTATAGGCAGATTGGAGGGTGCCTTGAATTAGCAAAGTTTCTTTGTATTTTAAAAATGAATTGTTGTCAGGAGCATCTAGCGCTCCTGCTCCTTCACAGCTGCTGGTCTCATTCTAGCATCCTGGTTTTGGATATGATACATTCTCCCTGTCTGTCTGTTCACCTGCAAAGTGATTGATGTAACCAGTCTCTGGGTGGGGACCAACCATGATTTAGGCCAGCGAAGCCTGCAGTCTCATGCTTGTGATAATATGTGTAATACCTGCTCAAGCACCTTGTCTGTCTGTCCTGCTCTGCTGTTTGGATTCCCCTCTTTATGACCTCGGATCAGATATCAACTATTCTCTGATCTCTGCCTGGTTTTTGAATACGGATGGGATCTTGATTACTCTGAACCTTGCCTGCCTTGTACCTGGACTGGACTAGACTGTTATTGAACCACTTTGCCTGTCTGCCAACTGCTAGTAACTGTTTGCTGTGCTCAGTTCACACCTGTCCCAATGTGGGAATGTGGGTGTCCAGTCACTATAGCATTGTGTATAGGTCCTGGGGGCAAGAGAGTACTGGTAGACCTGCTTGCCTTATGGGAAAGGGGGCCGCTATAGGTGAAGAACACAGAAGCCAGCTATAGTGCTTGACCACCTTCATGAGGGGTAAGCGTGACATTTGTACATTAAAAAAACAGTTATCAAATATCAGTTTAAACACGTATAAACTTAAATAAATAACATAAAATTGACCCAGAACCATTATAGTTTCTTTTTAACTGCACATGGAGTGAACATGTGCTTAGTGAATGACCATTTTCATCAAATGGGGGCTGAATTAAATAGCAGGCTTAAGACATATTACCAAGCAATAGTTACAGGTAATATGTGTTAAATCTGTTATTTCATCAACACATAAAACTATTTAAAAGGTAGAATAAACCTAGCATATATGAGAAGAATAGGCTTAACTACATATTATTTAATGACATGATGTTGAAAATTACTTTAAAGTGAATGATTCATAAAAAGTACATGTAATCATTTAATTGCACTTAACAATTAACAATTGCAGTGACTATGTATCTCAGGGAGAAAATGCATCCACAGAGTCTAAAATGACTGTTGCTTATTTTGCCTATCTCGAAAAAAAAAGATATGGTTTGTATAAAGGGTTTGAATTTATTAAACTAAATGTAGTAAATATGCAGTATGTGTTTGT